GATATCCCGAGTTTTCCTGCCAACCAACCCTGCTTTCCATCGATGGCTTTGTAGTTGTCAGCTTTCATGATGGCCACTGGAAGTAGAGGATGTCACACGTACAATGCTCCTCTCGTAGATTCATTATTATATATATACACAAATGTCATCAAGTAGGTCACTTCTGGGCTATCGGTATTCAGTACATACATTATCTGTGCCAGTGCAATAGCACTGCGGTAGTACGCAAGGCTTCATAAAACTTGCAGTCGGTAAAACAAACACGATCGATATTTTCGAGATTACCCAAGAACTGAAAAGACTGTTAGGCTTGCACAGCGTACATGCGCCTTTATGCACATGCGGCCCTAGATACAATGCCGTCTTAAGTGTATATGCATGTAGTGCATATGTATATAGGTTGCATTGAGGCCTTCTTCAAATTGCACTATCTAAATTGACAACTTCTGATAAATTTGTTAAAACAATGAGTTCACTTTGTAATATTGTGAGTACAAAATCAATCATTTTCAAACCTATTTGGTATTGTCCTGTTAAACCCTTGAGGATCTAAATCTGAAAGCCAATTCTAGGTGAAGAGACGGTGAAGAGGAAAAAACGCTGGAAGTGGTGGCAGGAAATTCAACACACCTATCACCTCGGGGTAGTAGTCCACTCTAAGATATCAAGTCAGTGGGATACTTTCATTTGTATAGGAAAGTAAGGGTTTAATTAAAGTTTGTGCAGATAACGCGTGTCATGGAAAGTACATGGCATTTTGAGAGCCGTACTGAATACACCCCTGTACTGGGCCTCAAATAAGTATTGTAAAGCTTAGATAATAATTAAATTGGACAAGCGTTCCTGTTTGAGTAATTATATGCAAAGTAGTAATTAGTATGCCTTTACTCGTATCTACGAACGCATGTGTCATTTTTATCTAAAGAAGTTTATCTTTATGTACAAAAGGCGGAGAAAAAAGACGCGCTTTTCCAGCCATCCTGTTCTGCTAGTACATTGTTCGGTACTTCCTCTCAAAATTGTGGTTAAAAGTCTCAAATATTGACATCAAACCCATATAGGACATGAATATGACCAAAGGCTGGCCAATACATAACCGTTATCAAAATATTCACTTTGAAAATGACGTATGGTACATCGTTGGACTCTTATGTACTGTTCTAATATTGTTGATAACAAAGTTTACAAACATGAACGAAAATTACTTGTGAACTGTAGTTAACTTTGTCAGAAATTTAAGCAAGGTCAGCACAAAAATAAAATGGCGCATCTTGCTTCAGACAAAAATACTCTATACCTTTAAAAATTTAAATTAAGAGAAATTTTACAGCGTTAAGAAAAAACTTCGCCCGAATATGAGATGAGAAGGTTATAGATGGTCGTTAGGCCTATGACGAAACCACCCTTATAGCACATCGTGACTCCGTGGTCTTCCTTTTCATGGAGGATAAGAAAAGAGATGGTATCTGAAGGTTTTGTTGCTTTGGTGATTTAAAATTAGGTTCAGTTTCTATAGAAGATTATGGAACATTCGTTTTTGCACATAAATCAAATGTAACAAAAATGCTGTAATGAAGACCTCATGAAATCCATTGTTGTACGTGACGTCACTACATACCATCAGATGGTGACGTCATAATAATTACTGTACCATAATGCACTTAACTCGCATAGCGGCAAAGTAATCGCTGACTTAACGCTGAAGTTATTGCTTTTGATTAATTATAACAATGGGATGCACGCAATCTAGTAAGTATATTAATATTTTTTTCCTAAACGTCTCATGTTATTCCATATTACTTTTTTTTACTTTAGAGGAAAATCAAATTACCAACGAACGTAATAGCAGGTTACATTCGATATTTTTCATAATTGAATTTTTCAACTTGAACCTTAATTATCATAAGCATATTTTTTGTTCTCATTGTAGTTGATGTTATTAACAGTCATCACTGGAAAGAGTCCAACGATGGTGAATATATGTAAAATACAACGAATAAATAAATAAATAAATATCGAAATAATAAATATAGGTGTAACATTGTAGAAATTGCGATACATGTGAGATGTTGTGAGTTCGGCATCACTGTCATAAGTGAATAAACACAGTTATGGCTTCAAGATACCTTGATGAAACAAGTTTTTATCTTTTGAAATATTTAACTTCAGAGAGTCAACGGAAATTAGGGTTCTGCAGGAGGATTAGAAATATCTTTGGAGGAGGAAATAAAGGTTTGCTTTTAGTTGTCTCTCTCGACCTCATACATGTAGTATTTCACATTTACGTTCCTTTTTTTTTTGTCTTCAAAAGTCCAGAAGAGAAAGCATTCGCATAAACAAAATTTCAAGACGAAGGTGTGAAGTCAATATAACTATAGCTGATAAAAAACATAAAGGTCGTTTCTTTTTTCTTGCATTTTAATTGCAGTCGGGCCAAGTTTATCTCATGAACTCACCGAGGACCTTATGGTATTGGGTGTGCCTGTGCAGCTCATGGCCGCTCCTCGCTCCCCAGTCGATCTCTTCACTGCTAAGATTGATCAGTTGGAAAGGTAATATTATCTCAGGCCAGCCCCGTTATATATAAATAATTAAATAATCAGTCATTAGCTAACTACCTTGTCAAATACCTATAGCATTTTTTTTTCTGTTAAATTCAATCAAATTAAACCATAATAGAAAAATAAATACATCTTTACTGTTTTAGAAATGAAGATCCAGTACGAGACTCTGACGAACTGGACATGTCAAGGCTCTCCCGTAAAGAGTTGACTTACGTGGTCGAGGATCTGCTAGATGAAATTGACGAGGCATAATAAAGTGAAGGTGAGACAAAATGAAAACATTGGTTATGTTGGATTGTTCAACAAAGACGCTGCAAAATGATGTATGTTTCAGTTTTAGTTGACTGTATTATTTATTTGGATTCCATTCATAGGTATTTGAGAACGGTTAAACCAACACCTACGAGAGAAAGGTTTGTTTGCAGCAGTTGCCTTTCTATCCTACATTTTTACATTCAAGTGGACATGCCTTTCCTCATGCTGGGTGATCACTTAGCAACAGTCCGAGTAGAAGCCAAAACAGCACACTCGACAGCCAGTC